ACGTTCTGGCATTGTTTTGCCCTTGTGCAAATATACGCTCACAGCGATTGCTGGAAGTCCTGTGTTAAATGCAGTGGGAAGGGTGGGAGTTGGCATTTGATTTGCCACAAAAGGAAGGATACTCTCACTATGTGGCCCACTTACAGTGTGTGGCTTCACTCCGTAGGAGGCAGGAGCAGGGCTGTTCAGCTGGCAAAGGGAAGGCCACACTCGGGGGCCAAGTCTCAGCTTGTCCTCCCACTACACTGTGTGGGCTTGAACAACTTACTTGATCTCTTCAGGGCTTCAGTTTCCTCATCTATGAAGTAGGACTGATCCCTAAGACTCCTTCCTGTCTGTGTTACTTTCATATCCAAATCTATGTGCTGATAATTCCAATCTGGGTGACTTCTAGAAAAAGATTCCACATTCAAGGAAGCTCTATGATCACTAAAGGTGATTAATAGAAGTACTGGGCCCGGCGTGGTGGCTCTTGCTTGTAATCCTAGCACTTTGGGAGACCGAGCAGAGTGGATCACTTGAGCCCAGGAGTTGGAAACCAACCTGACCAACATGGCGAAACCCTGTCTCTACTGAAAGTGTGAAAATTAGCCAGTTACGGTGACTCACATCTGTAGTCCCAACTACTCAGGAAGCTGAAGTGGGAGGATTACCTGAGCTTGGGAGGTTGAGTTTGCAATGAGTGAAGATCACAACAGCCTGAGTGACAGAGTGGGACTCTCTTTCAAAAAAAAAAAAAAAAAAAAAAAAAAAAAAAAAAAAAGAGTACTGTATACATTTCCCTACTTTGAAATCAGACTGAGTTTTTTAATTCAATTACTGATCTCCCTGATATATTGGGCTTTTAAATTTTTTTTTAATATATTTTTTTCAGGATCCTCTCTGTTCCATGAATGTTAAGACATTCTGGTTCTTGACAGTGCCAAATTTTTCTTCTTCCCAAAGCCCTAGAAAGCTCTGATTGTCACTCAGGCTAAACAAGCACCATATAATGCCTTACAGCTTGGGGTAAGTTTTATTACAAGGGCATTTATTGGAAGCATCAGGTATTTTTTACTTCTTCCCCTTGGGCCTCCCTAATCAGTTCTCCATGATTGTGAATTTTAGTACAGTTCAAGTTTCAATGACAGCATTAAAAAATCTCTGTTTTATGTAAACTTCATAGATCTCACCAAGCTGGGACAAGAATTTTCTAAAGAAAAGGCACACTCACTGATTTGGCTAATTCTGGGGCAATATACTCTCCCTATTGGCCTCGAGACTGGCCTAGTTTAAGGAACAAATTAGAGAATAAGAATTTTCAGTCTTAGGGAACATTGCCTTACATAGGACAATTCTAGATGCTAGAACTTCATCCCCACAGAAGCAACTAAGAATTTTGAGAATCTATCATGTGCCAGATATATATTTTTTTACATATTATCTTATTCATTAAAATAGTATTTCCAGAAAAGAGGATGGATCTATAAATTTAAGTAACTTGCCCGTGTTCATGCAGCTGGCCTGAGACAAAGCTGAAATCCAAATTCTCTGACTCTAAGACCAGCACTTCACCATTCTTCCCAATACTGACTGCTTGGTTTCTCTGATTATTATTAATTTTTTTTTTTTTTTTTTTTTTTTTTTTTTTTTGAGACAGCTTCTTGTTCTGTCACCTAGGCTGAAGTGCAGTGGCACAATCTCGGCTCACTGCAACCTCCATCTCCTGGGCTCAAGCAATCCTCCTACATCAGCCTCCCAAGTAGCTGGGACTATAGGTTCATGCCACCACATATGGCTAATTTTTGTGTTTTTGGTAGAGACGGGGGTTTCACCATGTTGCCCAGGCTGGTCTCAAACTCCTGAGCTCAAGCGATCCACCCACTTTGTCCTTCCAAAGTTCTGTGATTATAGGCATGAGCCACTGCACCAGACCTGATTATTTTCTTTTGAAGGATGCCTTAACTATATAGGCCTTGTTATATTATTATCTAATTCCTTTAGTTTAATAGCTTTAATTTATTTTCCAATACTTCCTCCCAGTTGGTGGCTTATCTTTTTTAACTGTATCTTTCAAAAAGAAGTTCTTAATTTTGATGAACTCCAATTTATCACTTACCTTATTTTTTGGTGGATTGTGCTTTTGGTGTTGTAGCTAAGAAATCTCTTAACTCAAGATTACAAATATTTTATCCTATATTTTCTATACATTTTATAATTCTAGTATTTACATTTAAGATATATGATCCACTTTAAGTTCTGTCTATCTTATGAGGTATGAAATGAAGTTCCTTTTTAGCAAACAGATATCTAATTATTCCAGCACCATTTGTTAAAGGCCATCCTATCTCCACTGAATGGCCTTTGCACCACATACGTGTGGCTGTGTTAGTGGGCCCTCTATCCTGTTCCAGTGACGTGACTCTGTGCTAATGCCACACTGTCATGATTACTGTAGCTTTATAATGACTCGTTAAGTCAGGTAGTGTAAGTCTTTTAACTTTTTTTTTCATTTTCAAAGTTATCCTGGTCATTCTAGACCCTATATCATTTCTTTAGCTTTTATTTATTCAGGGATACAATTATAAAACAGGATTTAGAAATCTAAAAATAATTTAAAAATTACTATATAAAGAACTATATGAAAACTGCCTATAATGTAGCTTCATCAGGAAGTGAGGCACTCTGAGCATTGGATTCCATTTAGTTAACATAAAATTGTTGTATATACCTTGCATGGATTGCCATTTTTCAGAAGAATTAAAGTATAATCATTTATACTGGAATTGTATTGGACATGGTTGCAATTTTCATTGATGTGTCAGAAAATACGTTGGGCCTTAGAGTACCTTAGTCATTATAAACATCAGTTGTCATTGCCGTAGTATTGTGGGGAATTACTGATTAAAGAGAGTTAGTTAATTAGTTGTATTGCTGTCTACCATAGTTATTTACTCTACTTTTGATTTGAGGAATATTTTTCTTCAAACATCTAAAACTGTTGTATTTGATAGTGATATGCAAAGCATTCTGGTGCCTGTCTCTTCCAATAAAGCATATCCCTGTTGACTTTAAGCTTGCTATCTGCTGGGGGACAGTGAGGAGTGACTATTAATTAGGCAAATTTAGCTCTGATCTGTTAGCTATCACTGCCACTGTGTGATGTGGAGCAAATTACTTATCTTCTTTGGGTTTCAGTTTTATCATTTGTAAAATGAAAGGCTTGGGCCAGTTAACCTTGAGTGGCCCATTTGGCTCTAGATTTTTCTTACTCTTTTGTAGTGTCTTTATCCACTTAAAAATTACAACCCCTTTCAAAATAATCAAAAACTCGTAATGGCGAAAAAGCACTGTGATGAGCTTTCTCAGTCAGGAAGTAGTAGTAGTTTGATGCATCACAGATTGCCTAACACCACTGCATGCCTCTCCTTTTAACCATGGCCAGCACTGACCACTTAAGATGGCATTTATGGCCCCTGGCGCTGAGACATTTTGTGGCCCATGAAACTTCCATGTTCTAAGAAGGAAAAAAAATTGCTTCTAAGCCTAGGCAATTCCAAAGCTTCAGAGTTCTCCTGAGTTGGCAGGTTAGATTTTCAAATATATCTCCAAAGTAAATGGTACAACTACTTGAAACCAAGAGGACTTCGTATATCTTCATTGTCTTTCCGATGCCAAAGCACAGCACAGCTACAATGATCATTACTGTCGTAATGCAATAAGAAGCTTCGAGAGTCAGTTTACTAGGAAATGCAGAATATAGATACAAATTAAAAATAGTATATGAGAATATTTGAGTACTTACTGTGTACCAGGTGCTGTGCCAAGCACTTCTTATGCATTATATTAATCTTCATAACAATCTTGAAAACTAGGCATTATCATCTCCCTCTTACAAATGAGGACATGATGCACAGAGAGTTTATGCCACTTGCCCAAGGTCACACAGTGGTAAGTTGCAGAGCTGGTCTTCAATCCATATCTGTTTCAATCTAGAGTTTAAACTCTTAATGCTGACATCAGAGACTAGCACATTTAGGAAGTAATTGCATGTGTAGGATTACGGTGATCTAAACAAAGAATAACAGGTTCTGATGGGTCACTTTTGGGTAGACCTGATGGAAGAAAGAATTCACAAAAGATTTCTTGAAGAAATTGTTTTGAGTTTTATTTTGAAATGAAGGATAAAAATTGGCCTAGAGGAACAGATGAGTTTGCACTGAGGGGATGGACTATATGAGGCCATGAAGATACAAACGAACAAATTTCATGTTCAGGAAGCAACATAAAGACTTATGCATTGCAGGGTGATAGCCAGAAATAAAGCTGATGTCACAGGGATGAAAATCTAAGAGGTTTCACTTTATTATAATAGGCACTGGAGATGCCCTCTCAGTTCTCAAGCAAGAAAAGAAACATAATTAAAATTGTCTTTGATTGTACAGTTTATCCTACAACTCATGTGGGATAAATATGAGCTTTGAGTGCATCAGGGGAGGTCAAAAGAACATTTCTTAGCAAAACATATTTGATACTCAACAAATTATCTTTAGAAGTACCACATAGCTCATCTCACTAAGGCCCTATGGACATAATAGTGCAATGACAGTGTACCTTGGCCTTTAAATTAAGAGATCTGAATACAGATTTTACGTAATTTTTAGAAATCAAGGTGATTCGTCCACTGTAGTTAAGCTGCCAGCGCATTCCTTGGGCCCATCAACACTGGTACTGTGTAGTATACATAAAAAGAACACAGAAGGGTTACAGATTAAAGTCAGAGTTAGGCAAATAGAAATCTCTCAACAGTATGCACTAAATTGAATTGAATGGAAGTCTGCTTTCAGATCTCAATTGCTGCTCCTGACTGAGGGCCAATGTATTTGGTGAATTATAGTTGGGTCTCTTCCATTATAAATCCACTAATGCTAACTTAATGTCTCTTCACATTTTCTAAAATGACTTTTCTTTCTTTCTCTCTCCATCTCCCTCTCTGTCTCTATCTGTTTTTCTCTCTCCAGTTTCAGAGACCTAATGACTTCTCACCCCCTTTCCGCTTTGGGACGGTGCCCAACGGCAGCACAGAGAGAAATATTCGCAATAACTATGCAGAAATGCATGCCTACATGGGAAAGTTCAACCAGAGGGGTGTAGATGATGCATTGCTCTCCCTGAAAACAGGGTAAGAATTGCTTCCAAGCTCAGAACCCTTGATCTGTTTCTCCCGTTTATTAAGCATACTATTGAATCACATGTACTAGGTATGCCATGCTTGGTATCATAAAATGTTAAAGAAGACTTCATTTGCTCTTTAAGTATTTCAGAGTTAAATTTGATTGTATCATTTAAATCAATGTACAAAGATTCCTATGCTATTAATTACATATATATATATATATATATATATATATATATATAATTTGCAAATTATTTTCTAGTTGCACTAATGTAACCATGAAATGAATGTAGAAGTAGGAGGGTAGAGTCAAGGATAAGGTATTTGTGGTGTGTATGAAATAAAGACCTGTTGTCTAAGAGGTGAAAATTGTGGCTCTGGTATCTCATGGACAAGGGAGAAATAAAAAGGGAAAGTGAAAATGTTTTTAGATAACTAACAGTGAGAATGTGTTGACTGATCTCCAGTACCAGCTTGTGTTAACATAGTCTGTCCTCTAGGGAATGTTTGTTCATTAAAAGGAGTTCGTGACCTACACACGTGTTGGCTTGCACAGTCCCAGCCACACTGGTCCCTTTGTTCATTTGGCCTCCATACACCACAGCTGTGGAAGATGATGGATAATGGAGCATTATAGATGTTGGGATTTGGAGGTCAAAGAGTCTTATAGCTGATTTTCTTTGTTGTGTGATGACTAACAGCACTTGGACCTCTTCTCAATACCCTTGTAGCTCTAGGACTGGAAAAGGCACCTAGATACATGGTTACTTAAAATACTGTTAGATTCTGTTTTATCACCATAAATACAGTCACAGAAGATTTCAGAAGATGGGATTTGAGCTTGAAGGTAGGACCGCTTTGGATAGCCTAACCCCTGCTACACCCACCATTCTCATTCATATCAGGGCTTTGGTTTTTTGGTGTGTCCCTTTCTATAGGGTACCTAACAAAGTTACTTAATAAAAATGAAGGAAATAATGGTGTTGCTTTTCTTTCTTGCAGATCTCTCTATTACCTGTATGGCTATATCTAAATTTCTTCCTCTACCTTTGATATGTTTAAATGTTGGTTTTAAATATTGATTTATGCCTTCCTGCCCTACTCCTGGTCTTACTCCCTTTATGTATTTCTCCCTTGCAAAGGGAGAAATACATAAAATGAGGTTCTCATATGTTTAGGAACTATATGCTGTAATTTATATATTTGAGAGATCTGAATTCTTCTGTATGTTGCCTTCTCTTGTAGTTTCACTCATCTGCTCTTACACAAGCCTGAACTGCCAGCACCTCAACCCCTCACCTCTATCCTTGTGCTGCACGACAGAATATTGGAACTTTTCTGACCACAAAAATAGCATTGCACATCTATTGAAACACAAACACCTACACTTATCCCCACTCCAGACTGTAATGAACTGAGAAATGAAAAATGTTATATAAATCTAACCCCATGCTATTTGTTGCTCGTTGCGGTGGTTACTTTTCATTATTTCTGTTATTATTTTTATTGATCCCTTTTTACTCCTTCTTCTTTTCAGACACAGTTTATGAGTTGGCTTCAGGCCCAACTTACATTCTCATCATTCCCAGTGGGAGGAAAAGAACTCCTCCTTTCAACCCGAAATCACATAAAGAACAGCCTGGGATTTAGGCTTTAGATTCTGGCAGCGTTCCAACTTAAACCTTACTTTGAACCAATTCTCCACATAGTTTTCTGGAACCCTACTGCTTCATATTAATGGCCCCATAGGTAGTTTTGTTCTAAAATTCCTCCATTGGATTTGTTTGCTTTTTTCCTGTGCAGGAAACTGGATGCCTTCATCTATGATGCAGCAGTGCTGAACTACATGGCAGGCAGAGATGAAGGCTGCAAGCTGGTGACCATTGGCAGTGGGAAGGTCTTTGCTTCCACTGGCTATGGCATTGCCATCCAAAAAGATTCTGGGTGGAAGCGCCAGGTGGACCTTGCTATCCTGCAGCTCTTTGGTGATGGTGAGTTCAAGAAAGGAAAAGTGCCCATTTGTCCTCTACGGATGGCCAGTCCAAAACAACCACCTTTTCTTTTCCTCCATTTCTTTAACCTGTGCATTTCCAGAAAAGCATTTCACAGTATATTCTGAGGTTTTTGGGTACATGTTGGTTTCCTATTGCTGCTATAACAAAGTGCCTTGCACTGAGCTGGCTTAAACAATGGAACTGTGTTGTCTCACAGTTCCAGAGACTAGACATCTGAAATCACAGTTACAGCAGGGTCATTCTCTTCTGGGGTCTGCAAGGGAGAATCTGTTTCCTGCTTCTCTCATAGTATCTGGTGGTTTGCTGATAATCTGTGGTGTTCCTTATCTTGGAGAAGCAGAAGGTCCCCGAACTTCTGATTCATGTTCACATGGCATCTAACCAGTGTGCATGTTTTCCCTTTGCATATGTCTGTGTCTGAATTTCCATTTTTCTTAAGAATGCCAGTCATATTAAATTAGGGTCTCACCCTACTCTGGTATGAGCTCAGCTTAATTATGTTTGCAGTAACTCTATTTCCAAATAAAGTCACATCCCAAGGTATTGGGTGTTAGGACTTCAACATACATATTTCACGGGGGATGCTATAACATCTTTCACCCCATAATAATGTGAAAGATGGCAGGGAGAATATTGAAGCAGTTTGTCAAGGAGGTTTGTTTTTGGGTTGCAGATACAGTCAAACCTTCAGGGATAAAGTAGAACTGACATTAGATGTTTCATCCAATCATCTCACATGTGACCAAAACAATAGATGGGACTGTGGAAGGTCTCTGCTCTTTATTTTTCTGCCCTACCTCTGGACCTATAAACTTGCAGCCATCTCTTCATTCTTCCCTTTCTCCCATCTTGCTCTTTCAGGTGGAAGAGGCAGGAGTCAGGGCTAGGGTCCTCATAGGCAGACACCATCAGCCACTCCCCAGGATCATCCTGACAGCAGACTGAGCCACCAACTTGAACTGAAAAAGATCTTCTGTTTCGTTATATTCCTGTCTTCCGCATCCCTCTTCACTTTATTGTACAAAGAACCTACTCTTTCTGTTAGCGTCACAGAAACTAACTCAGTGATGGATCAGCAGCCAGACTCTACTTGGCGTCACTAGCCTTCAGCCAAGTGGCTATCTCAGTTATATTTGCGGAGGCTTTGCTGTTAAGGATGAGATCAGAAGCAGAAGACCACAGGTGGATTTACAGAATCCAGGTGAAGTTGTCTGCTAAGCTGGTTAGGAGAAACACAGTTTGATCAAATAAATGAGGGAAAAGTGATGTGATTAACGTTGAAAATAGGAGTATGTTTTAGCTGGAGTGTTACCAAGCCACTTTGATATAAGATCTTCTATAATTTTACTGTAGCTAGTCACTTAAACACAATAATGGAGACTGTATCCATGAGAAAGAGATGATTTGCAAAAGTCGCCAAAGCTTTAGTCAGATTATATAAGCAAAGTTCAATGTTTTAGCCAAACTAGAACTATTGGAATAGACAATTTTCTTCATGAGAGTTTCAGAATTTTCCTTCCCTAGAACTAGAAGCATTCTAGGGCACATGGTTTCTTTTACTTTTTGTCATGGACCAGTTCCTTTCTACTTCCTAGCGTCTAGTGAGTGGAAAAAGATCACTGAAATCTGACATGAATTAAAGTAATCAAAGCTCCCTTAAACAATGTGTAAAGGAGGCAACTCAATTTGGGGGTCTTATTTTACCTAAGCTTACTCCTCTTTGCTCTTTATTTGCTTCAACAAGAGATCGGTAAATCCGAGGAGCACTAGGGAATCAAATCAATCTCTCTGCCCATCTCTTTCTGCCTCTTTTCTCCCTACCCAATTAGCTTTGCACAATTTTAAGAGCAATTCTCTGAATCACTCATTTGATTATGTTATTCCCCACTGTCTATTATAAAGTGCAGAATGCTTAATCTGATACTCAGGTCTTCAGCACTCTTGCATCAATCTTTTTTATTCAGCTTCTTTCACCTACTATTATTCTGTTTGAACTGTTCTGCATGCCTTTCCCTAAACAAGCCTTGTGTTTTCCCACTGATCATGCTATTCCTGCTGCCTGGAGTGCCTTTTTGTACAATGTAAATTAAAATTCATCCATCCAACATGCCCACCTCCAACTCCTACTTACTTCACGAAAACCTACTGGCCATGCCATCCACAGAATTACTGTCACCACTTTGAACTCTTGTTACCTGCAGATAGCTTGTCATTATGATTATTTATATGCCAATTTATACTGGCTAGATAATGGAGAACAGGAGTGACGTCTCATGTGTTTGTACCATCTGCATTACTGACATGAAGTTTTAAATGAATGTTCACTGAGTACATTGCTGAATTAATATATAATGGTGTTAATAAGATTAATGTTAACTTTATTCATTTCCTCTTTGTCTCTTTCTCTTGTTTCTCTTTCTTGCTCAATACAACTTTATTCATTTCTTTTTGTCTCTCTTTTTTGCTCTCATGTTTTTTTCTCTTTCTTGCTCAATACCCTTTTTTTCCCCTTTTCTCTACTCCTTTCCTGTCTCCTCTTTTTATCTGTTTTCCTTCTCTGTCCTGTCCCCAGGGGAAATGGAAGAACTGGAAGCTCTCTGGCTCACTGGCATTTGTCACAATGAGAAGAACGAGGTCATGAGCAGCCAGCTGGACATTGACAACATGGCTGGGGTCTTCTACATGTTGGGCGCGGCCATGGCTCTCAGCCTTATCACCTTCATCTGTGAACACCTTTTCTATTGGCAGTTCCGGCATTGCTTTATGGGTGTCTGTTCTGGCACGCCTGGCATGGTCTTCTCCATCAGCAGAGTAAGTGTTTTGATTTAAATGCCTAGATCTTGTTAGGGACCACTTAGCCTAGCACTGTGCGAAGCAGAGACACAAGAGGACACGATCTCCAGCCCTAAGTTGCTCAAGCAAGAAACTACATCATGTATGTTTCCTCAGGAGTCTGTGTGATATGATTTCAAGTGGCTCAAAAAAAGTGGGTGATACTATATTTCCTTCAAGAAACAGCTTTCTGTGTGGGATTTGGGCATTTGGTTCTCTAAAGAACTGGCAGATCTGTCAAAATGGAAAATTTGGCTTTTTACCAAATACCTTTCATCACCATTAGTTAGTTCTGTATAACTTGTATTAACTATCTAACCGTTTAAAACCATTCATTTTTATTTAAATAATACTGTGCAACATCTCTCTCTTATTCTAACATACAAAGATATATCTTTTTTTGTTTTGGGTTTTTTTTTTTTTTTGGTATATTATTAGTTGTTTCACTCTATGTTTTAACCATGTGTGGGTTATGGAGAGTTAAAGAGAGCTTAGCAGAACCTTCAGGAATAATTTCTGACTCATAAGAAATTTACATTCCAGAAACTTCCCTAGTTGGAGCAAGAGTAAAACTCTTAGGTCATTCTTTATTTAGGTCTCCTCTTCATTCCTAGTTCAAAATGAGACATTAGGAAGATACTTTTGTATATGAGCAGAAGGTCATACACAAAAAAACTGGGAGAAGTTTTTTTAAAAAGTGAGCTTTTTAAAAACTTGTGAGAGGTGACCTCAAATGTCCTTTTAGAATGGAGGTCCAGGTTCCAGATATGGCCAACTTTGACTCAAATGGAGTTCTGTATTAATGAGAAATCAATTTTCTCATTAAGTTATTTCATCTTTTCATCATTTTCCTATCAGCATTTTACTGATAGAGAACAATTTCTCCATTTCCTCTCTGGCTGTGAGTTAATTCAGGCCATCCAGTGAGCTCAGAACAGGAGGATGGAAGTTGGGGTGGTGATGATCCCTGAGCCATGTTGCTTTCCTGGTAGCCCTTCCCTAAGATCTAAGATAGGGGAATGCCAGAAGTTTTGGGAGTTGGTGATCTGTAATAAAAACCCCACTGATAATCCTTTGACACGATCAATACCTCTATAGCGGAAAAAAGTCTTGAAATTTTCTCTTGATTTCAATCAGGAGGGGTTAGGAGGAGAACTGGGAAAGTGGAATAACCTTACCTTGAAGATCTTCTATGTTGCTGATGCCCTTGGGGGACAATGAGACTTACCTTGTCTAAACCTTTCTTCTTTCCTGTTTAGCTATGATTCTTCTTCTAACCTTCTCCCCTCTCTCATTCCCATCCACTGGGACAACTTCCTTTTCCAAATTAGTCCAATTTGTCGTAATGATGCAATTCAAACAACCTCTTTTCAAATAGTTTCCGTAGCCAGGGAGAAAAATTCCAAGTTTGTCTACCTTTCCAGGTAGGGAGCAAGATGTGAGCAGGAGGTTGCCTTGACTTTAGAATCAAACATACTGAGAGGAGCCCAGCCCACCGCCTCTCCTGGACAGTGTCCTTCAAAGCCCTGTACAAGGAGCTGTACACAGGGAGCTCTCGATCAATACTAATTTGTTAAGGTTAATTATTGATGATGATCGTGAGTGAGTAAGTATAAGGAGGAAAACAGGAGCTAAAGAGAGAACAAATGAGAGAATTCAACAAGGGAGTTATTTATTCCTATTGAGTACTGAATATTTGTCCCAATTCTTCCCTCCCATGGTGTAGAACACAGCAGGAGAAAAATCCTTCTTTGACCCCAGGGCTTCCGAATTCTCTCTCTCTGTGAATTTTGTTCATGCTTGGCTCAAGAAGAGAATTGCTCAGCTGTTCTTTGGTTGACCAAAATTCTAAAACCTGCTTAAAATTTGTCAGCGCTGGAAAAGAGTGGCAATTGTGAGTTACTGAGCTTCGCTGTGCTTTACTGCCAGCCAGGAGAGGCAAGCCACGGCAGAGCAGCCTCAGCGTCCATAGAGCACGGCCATTTATCTCCAGGAGGCCGACGATACTTTTTGCTATGGGTGGATATCATGGCCTCATTTTTAAGATGTGAAAATCTAGGCATAGAAAACCAAGATAAGTCAACGGTGAAATTGAGGCAAAAATGCGATATCTTACAATTCCAGTCTCTTTGCTCAAGCTATTGGTGTGGCCATGCCTCCTCTCTGATGGCCAGAGCACTGACCTCAGCTCATGACATGGCAATCACCAAATTCAGGGCTTATCAATTAGGCAAGCTTCTAGCCAGATTTTTGAATATATTAAACTATTCACTTCATGCTTTCCCTGACGTTTTCTTATCCAGTTGGGGCAATTATTGGTGGGAGAGTATTTTTTTTGTGGTCACTTTTAGCCTCTCTGGAGACCTAACCTGTCCCCCATTCTTGCTTCAGGGTATCTACAGCTGCATCCATGGGGTGGCCATAGAGGAGCGCCAATCTGTAATGAACTCCCCCACCGCAACCATGAACAACACACACTCCAACATCCTGCGCCTGCTGCGGACGGCCAAGAACATGGCTAACCTCTCTGGCGTGAACGGCTCCCCACAGAGTGCCCTGGACTTCATCCGACGGGAGTCGTCCGTCTATGACATCTCAGAGCACCGCCGTAGCTTCACGCATTCCGACTGCAAATCCTACAACAACCCGCCCTGCGAGGAGAACCTCTTCAGTGACTACATCAGTGAGGTGGAGAGAACGTTCGGGAACCTGCAGCTGAAGGACAGCAATGTGTACCAAGATCACTACCACCATCACCACCGGCCCCATAGCATTGGCAGCGCCAGCTCCATCGACGGGCTCTACGACTGTGACAACCCACCCTTCAGCACCCAGTCCAGGTCCATCAGCAAGAAGCCCCTGGACATCGGCCTCCCCTCCTCCAAGCACAGCCAGCTCAGTGACCTGTACGGCAAATTCTCCTTCAAGAGCGACCGCTACAGTGGCCACGACGACTTGATCCGCTCCGACGTCTCTGATATCTCAACCCACACCGTCACCTACGGGAACATCGAGGGCAATGCCGCCAAGAGGCGTAAGCAGCAATATAAGGACAGCCTGAAGAAGCGGCCGGCCTCGGCCAAGTCCCGCAGGGAGTTTGACGAGATCGAGCTGGCCTACCGTCGCCGACCACCCCGCTCCCCTGACCACAAGCGCTACTTCAGGGACAAGGAAGGGCTACGGGACTTCTACCTGGACCAGTTCCGAACAAAGGAGAACTCGCCCCACTGGGAGCACGTGGACCTGACCGACATCTACAAGGAGCGGAGTGATGACTTTAAGCGCGACTCGGTCAGCGGAGGAGGGCCCTGTACCAACAGGTCCCACATCAAGCACGGGACGGGCGACAAGCATGGCGTGGTCAGCGGGGTACCTGCACCTTGGGAGAAGAACCTGACCAACGTGGAGTGGGAGGACCGGTCCGGGGGCAACTTCTGCCGCAGCTGCCCCTCCAAGCTGCACAACTACTCCACGGCGGTGACGGGTCAGAACTCGGGCAGGCAGGCGTGCATCCGGTGTGAGGCTTGCAAGAAAGCAGGTAACCTGTATGACATCAGCGAGGACAACTCCCTGCAGGAACTGGACCAGCCGGCTGCCCCGGTGGCGGTGACATCAAACGCCTCCACCACCAAGTACCCTCAGAGCCCAACTAATTCCAAGGCCCAGAAGAAGAACCGGAACAAGCTGCGCCGGCAGCACTCCTACGACACCTTCGTGGACCTGCAGAAGGAAGAAGCCGCCCTGGCCCCGCGCAGCGTGAGCCTGAAAGACAAGGGCCGATTCATGGATGGGAGCCCCTACGCCCACATGTTTGAGATGTCAGCTGGCGAGAGCACCTTTGCCAACAACAAGTCCTCAGTGCCCACTGCCGGACACCACCACCACAACAACCCCGGCGGCGGCTACATGCTCAGCAAGTCGCTCTACCCTGACCGGGTCACGCAAAACCCTTTCATCCCCACTTTTGGGGACGACCAGTGCTTGCTCCATGGCAGCAAATCCTACTTCTTCAGGCAGCCGGTGGCGGGGGCGTCGAAAGCCAGGCCGGACTTCCGGGCCCTTGTCACCAACAAGCCGGTGGTCTCGGCCCTTCATGGGGCCGTGCCAGCCCGTTTCCAGAAGGACATCTGTATAGGGAACCAGTCCAACCCCTGTGTGCCTAACAACAAAAACCCCAGGGCTTTCAATGGCTCCAGCAATGGGCATGTTTATGAGAAACTTTCTAGTATTGAGTCTGATGTCTGAGTGAGGGAACAGAGAGGTTAAGGTGGGTACGGGAGGGTAAGGCTGTGGGTCGTGTGATGCGCATGTCACGGAGGGTGACGGGGGTGAACTTGGTTCCCATTTGCTCCTTTCTTGTTGTTTTAATTTATTTATGGGATCCTGGAGTTCTGGTTCCTACTGAGGGCAACCCCGGTGACCAGCACCATCTCTCCTTTTCACAGTTCTCTCCTTCTTCCCTGCCCCCGCTCTGTCAGCCATTCCTGTTCCCATGAGATGCCGCCATGGGCCCTCTCAGTAGGGGAGGGTGGAGCGGAGAAAGGAAGGGCTGCATGCGAGCTTCCTCCGGCTGTAGAAGAGCTCCTCGCCATCCTCTTTGAGTGAAGCTGGTAGAACCAAAAAGAGGCCATGTGAGCACAAAGGTAGCTTTTCCCAAACTCATCTTTTTGTTTAGGTGAGGAAGCAAAAGCATCTACGTGAGACCATTTAGCACACTGCTTGTGAAAGGAAAGAGGCTCTGGCGAAATTCTTGCTGCTAAGATGACATCTGTCTAGGAATCATGTGCCAAGCAGAGGTTGGGAAGCCATGTGTGTTTATATATAAGCCAAAAAATGCTTGCTTCAACCCCATGAGACTCGATAGTAGTGGTGAACAGGAACAAGAGGTCATTGGTTGGGAGTGGATTCTTGAACAAATGGGAAAGTATATTATGACAATGTCCCATGGTGCCCTTGAGGCAAGAGCAGCTGGCTTGTGCATGCATGTGTGTTCATGCACACTTGCACCCACATGTAGTCAGGTGCCTCTGGAAAAGGCAACCTGGATTCTTTGTTTTTTTCAATATCCCCAAGCAGAGTGACTGTTTGGCTTATATACAGACAGAAATGGCCACGTGTCTCCTGAATCTTGGCTGTGTCTCCCTTCATCCTTCCTGAATAAGGAGAATGAAAATTATTGATAAAGAAGATTCTGTGGTCTAGATTAAAAAAAAAAAAAAAAAAGGCGGTGCGCAATCCTGCAAGAGCAAGGTACAAAAACAAGTCCTCAGTGGCTGGCAATCGTTTCAACCAGTTTGAACCTAGAACTTTCCAGGAAGGCTAAAGGGAAACAATTTTTGCAGCCACAATTCTTTTGCCCACACTTGAGAGCAAAAGATTCTACAAAGCTCTTTTTGAGTTTTTAGACTCTTGACTGGCCAAGATTTGGGGAGGAGCTAAGAAGCCTTTGAAGAAGCAAGGAGTCTGTATGGTAGGGTAAGTGAGAGAGGGGGATGTTTCCAATGCTTTGATCCCTTCTTACTTAACCTGAAGCTGGAAGAGCAGGCTTCTTCCCCCAAAACTGATTACAGCTGCTATGGAGCAGACAGTTAAGAGAAATGAGCTTGCCTCCATGAGTGCAGCTCAGGAGGCACGAAGAGAGGGGAAGAGACTTGGGATTGGGGGAGAGGAGCAGAGAGGGACTTTCTACCACCTCTTTGGGCCTGGCTCCCTGGCAATGTGACTTGAGCCTAGAGTGAACACTCTTGGTAGAAGCCCTTCCACCTGCCTGCAACACCTCCTTTCCCTCTCAAATTGTACCACTGAAGAATAAAAAAAAGATATATACATGTATAAAACTCCAGGGATGAGGGTACCGGCAGACGCGATGCCCCCTTCATTTAACATTGGAAAATTGAGAAGGGAAATGAATATGTGTCACTGCCGGTCCTGAAACTTGGGGTAGGGCTGTTCTGTGGGTCAGTTCCACTGTCCTGCCATCCTCCCCTACACAGGGAAGCATCCAGAGAGCCCCGGGTCTATGTGGAAGCTTGACTGCAGAATCGCCATGTTGCACACAGGACACATAAACCAGAAAGGTGCTCATCCTCCTCTGGAAGGAAGCTGCCATGTCTCTTCAAGTCACTCCCTCCAGGGCTGCTCTTCGCCCCTGTTCGCCCTCACTTGCGACCCTTCCTCATCCTGCCCTTGACTGCTGCCCCTGACCCTCCTCCTTGATTTTTACCTCAGTATCTTTCATTTTAAAGCCAACTGAAGGCCTTGTAAAGCTTTGTTTCCTTTCTAAAATGAACGTGGGGGCAAGGGGCTGAACCTCTCAGAGATCTGGAGAGAGGAGCACGGAGTGCTTTACCTTAGATAACAGGAAAGACTGAGAGAGAGAACAGAGGGCGTGAGGCACCTCCAGGAGGAAGAAGGCGAAGGGCCGTGTAAACACCGCTTCGCCCTGACTCTGTTCGGGGTCAGGGACTCATTCCCTCATCTTCCTCTTACCTCACCCCTTTCAAACAAAAAACCAAACCAACCAACCTAGCGAACAGCAATCTAGAACCAAGGGGGCTCTTTGTCTCCGCTGGCGACAGAAATCAAGATGGTGTTTATTTCATATGTAAATATTTTGTTTTCTAATTAATTTTGTATAGATAAAGTGTTCTCTTGTGAGTATTCAGGGTGTTGGGCTGGAGGGAGTGGGGTGGGGATGGGAACGAGAGGGAAAAAGTGTTTCGTTATGGGTTTTCATTTTCCATTGGGGAATTGTTTTATATGGCTTTTGCTTCAGGGTGTCTGGAAGAAGCGAATGCCCGTGGAGGCCATGATGGTGAAAAAGCCAGGGGAAAGTAATTTGTGTCCATCCCCCTCCCACCCCCCCACCAAAAAAACAGTCTTCTTACTGGTCTATGAGAAATGTTCATGCACTTTGCCAGGCTTCATGTAGGGTTCAATTTGGCTCTATGCAGACCCCAGGTCTGACTCCGATTTCTAGGTAGACCCTAGGTTACTGCATTCCATGCGAAGACAGGCTGGTGGCATCATACCTCCTGTCAGTACCTAGGGTAGGAAAGATTCTCAAAAGGGCTTAACCAGAAATAAGGTCAAATTAACTTCCCATTTTTGGTGTGACTGAAAGGTTTCAGAAAGCTCAATCCTGAGAAATCTCCCAGCAGCCTCCTCTGATGCTGAAGCAATGATCTCAGTCGTCTGACTTTTCTTCCTTAGGACCTGGGCGCTGACCCTCTCCCTGCCCCATCTCCACCCTTAGAAAACAGCCTGGCAAGCACACCTGGAAAAAGCTCCACTAACTCTACTTTTTGAAGCAAGTGATATCTGGTCACAGAGAGGTAGGGCTGGATATGTATCTTACAAATTTGCATGCTTGCCTAGAAAAGGTGACAGGATCCACTAAAAACTCAGTGGTGAGATGATTCCCTTAGCAAGGTTGCTGAAGTTAGGTTTGGAGGTGCGGGGGTGGGTATGTGAGCAATGGTGCCCATGGTGGCTCTTTATTTGCCTTGTCCTCATTACTGCCATCAGGAAGGTGCTACTGACCTTGAGCCAGGTGTTCATAATCTGGCCTTGGGTTAACCAGACAAATAGAACTTCTTTTCCTAGACTGTTGGCTTTGTGGAGGTTGGCAGCCTCTATCACAGGATAAAATTTCCAAATCCATTTACCCAGTATATTCACTATATTTTTTCTTATCCTCCCATTATGAAAGCTATTATTAGCTGGATAATTTTATTTTTCTAAACACTTTATTTGGCCCCAATTGGTTGCTTTTCTTCAACCAATATTTGCATTGGGACTTAGTTACTCATGGTCTGCTCAAGAAAACTTAAAGAAAGGCAGGCTGGGCATTGTTAAAATCTAGATGTTACTTAATTCCAGAAAAACAAGCAAGTAAAATGCATGAGGAAGAATTCAGCTATAAGCCCAATCTATATCACAGATGGGATGAAACAATACCCAATCCATCCAAAACTGTGAGATTCCACAGATACCCTCAGGAGCACCTAATATTCCCATATTCTTAAGAATCCATGCTTTCTCTCTTTGTACCCTCTATCATTTCCCTCCATTGCAGAAGTGGTTGGTGAGTATGATCCTGTATCAACTCCTTTCAGTGGCAATGCTTAAATCTCAGCATTTCCACTGACCTCAATAATCTGACCCTTGAATTTGCCTGAGTCAATAATGTGCACACCCTTCAAAGTGATGCATGTACAGTGGACTTTGTTATTTCAAAATCTGTCACTGTGTATCCTCAGCCAGAACTTGGGAAACATCCTTCATGTGTATTCCCCTGCACTGGCTACAGCCACGTTGTGACCGAGGGGAAAATCCCAAATGATTCCATTAAATGTTGCTGGTGTCAGTAGTGCCAAAACGCATGTATGACGTGATACAGTAGGAGTCGTCTGTACAGTTAAGTGACTATCACCCACCCGGTCTTCCATGGCCATCAGGAGTTGCCCAAGGGAAAATTCTCTGCAGAGTGCTGGTCACCTGCAAATGTCATTAAGAAGTAGGTTTCTTTGGTTCTTTTTTTTTTTTTTTTTTTTTTTTTTTTTTTTTTTTTTTTGGTTGGTTGGTTGGTTTTTAGTTAGTTCAAGATTTAGGGACAGAATAACCAGATTGCTTGGACAATAAGCTTTTGGAAAAGCTATTCTAGAACTCACTTTATTCAATCATCATTTCTCTATAAAGGCCCTGTCATTGCTTGACACCCTGTGAATGTCTGTTTTTGTATGTTAGGAATGATTCAGATGTGTGCACAAATGATGTCACTGCAGTGATATTGATGAATGCATTCAGCATTTCCAGGGATTGTGGCCATACCTTATGTGCTCTTTGAGCCCAAAGCCATATAGGAAACATATGCTCAGTAGGCTGCTACACACTACAGCAGAGCTTTTGCTTTCTTCACTTGGGTTTCAGAGACTTTTCCTCCCGTTTAAGGAGCTCTTCACGGAGGAGAAGCAGCTGAAAGTGAATAGTCACACTGGGATGGATCTGGCCTTATGTATGCTATGTGGTCCATGGTGTGCTGAAGGTCCTGAAAAGGTCCTTCTTTTTCATTCACCACCCCACTCCAACTACTGCCTTCCTACACAGATCTGTTGCTTTAGCACTGAGCTGCCTGTCATTCAAATGAAAGTAATCCCAGGAAAGGAGACATATTAAGCCATATTAGGGATTTATACATTTTATCACTGAATTTACACTAGGATTTTTCACTCCTTTTCCTGGGAATACATTATGATACAAGAGAAGAGGAAGGAAGCAGAGAGCACTGAGAGCAACAGAGTAGGGAACAAGGATACAGGTTCTAGATGGTAAAGACATTTAGATGGTATTTTAGCCTCCATCTGCTTTTATTTAAGGCTCATATGACACCTAAATAGGAATCCTGGTTAGAAATTATTTTCAAATCACATGAGTGTATAATTTATGAATTTCTAAATTCAGTGTCTTGTAGGACAAGTTAAGAATATGATTTTTTTCTATAGAAAATGGAAGACTGGACTGGACATGGTGGCTCATGTAATCCCAGCGCTTTGGGAGGCTGAGGCGGGTGGATCACCTGAGGTGGATGGATCACCTGAGGTCAGGAGTTTGAGACTAGCCTGGCAACATAGTGAAAACTCATCTCTACTAAAAGTACAAAAATTAGCCCTAAACTTGGTGGTGGGTGCCTATAATCCCAGCTACTCAGGAGGTTGAAGCAGGAGAATCACTTCAACCCAGGAGGCAGAGGTTGCAGTGAGCTAAGGTAACACCACTGCACTTCAGCCAGGGCAACAAGAGCGAGACTCCATCTCAAAAAAAAAAAAAAAAAAAAGAAATGTAAGACTGATGCTTCTCCTCCATTACAGGTTACTGAGTAGGCAGCTAGAAAGATCACATTGAATTAATGATAGAGTAAAAAGTTACGTCATTGTCTGGTCTCTGCCCCAATTTAATTAAGCTTCCAATTAGCAGAGTTAGTCTATATCCTACACTTCCCACCTCCATAGGGTGTACCCAGTTATCCAGTAAGAGAGTCACTTATGACCTCAGGTGCTACTTAACCTGTGGAGCAATTCTTTCTTGGGCCTATCAGATGTTTGGGAATGACACTAAAATGTAGATTAGTCAGTCTGAGAATGTCTAATATTGATCTGTATTCTAGGATTCTATTCCAGTTTGGGGAGGAGGGGTGTTCCAGTATTGTATAAAATTGTAGGATA